TCCTGGAAAAGATATTCACCAACCATACATCTGACAGAGGGCTGATCTCCAAAATTTACAAAGAACTCCAGAAGCTAGTTTCCAAAACACCAAATAATCCAATTAGAAAATAGGGTACAGAACTAAATAGAGAATTCTCAACAGAGGAATATAAAATGCCTGAAAGACAAATATGAAAGTGTTCAATATCCTTAACCATCAGGGAAATGCAAATCAAAACAACTCTGAGATACCATCTTACTCCTGTCAAAATGGCTAAAATCAAAAACACCAATGACAGTTTATGCTGGAGAGGATGTGGAGAACGAGGAACACTCCTCCACTGTTGTGGGAGTGCCAACTTGTACAGCTGCTTTGGAAATCAGTATGTCAATTCCTCAAGAAAATTGGAATCAGTCTACCACAAGATCTAGAAATTCTACTCTTAGGCATATACTCAAAAGAAGCACATTCAAACAAGAACATCTGTTCAACTAAGTTCACAGCAGCAGTATTTCTAATAGCCCGAACCTGGAAGCAACCTAGACAACCCTCAGCTGAAGAATGGATACAGAAAATGTGGTACATTTACACAATTGATTACTACTCAGCTGGGGATGGGGGACAACAATGGAATCTTGAAACTCTCAGGTAAATGGATCAAACTAGAAGAAACCATTCTGAGCAAGGTAACCCAATCACAAAAAGACAAATATGGTGTATATTCACTCATATATGTATTTTATAGAGAGAGCAAAGGATTACCAGCCTACATTCCACAGCACCAGAGAAGCTAGGAAACAAGGAGGACCCTAAGAAACATAAAATCATGGGGAGTGGGGAGAGGGAGCTAGGAGAATGAGAAGGGGAGAAGAGGTGAGGTGAGGAGGACATGAGTGAATTAGCAATTTGTTGTGTACCTTTACACTGGTTCTAAATTGATAGTGAGATAATGGTTAAGGTTTCACTAGGAGTGTATTTGGAAAAGATTGCAGATTTAATTTGTAAAATGGAAAATGAAATAAAAAATCAACCAAGAAGGGATTATATTATTCTAATTATAAACACTGACACATTGGGGACTGTTGAAGATCATCTAAAGTGTGGGGGTAAATAGAAAGGTATGGGCACATAAAAGGAAGTGGATTATCTCATATTTGCAAAACAAAGTATCATTTATGATATTATTAGGGTAATTTCAATATCCTGTTGAGAAATAGTAACCAGAATAATACGAATTAAAGATAATATCTCACTGAGAATATCCTTATGAAGTATAATTAACTCTGTGTTGAATAAAGATTTTTCATCACTAATTATGGACATAAATAAAAATGTTCTGCACTTCGTGTATATTGGAGAATTATTATCATTATGTGGTTGCCTCTAGAATATTGGCTTCATATAATTAAATTTCTTAGAAAAACTTACAGGTTGTTTCCATTTAGAATTTAAAGTCATCTTGTTTAAAATTATAAATATATATGTATATTTAGTTCCATATATTTAGATTATTTTTTATTATATTGTATATACTTACATATAGTAATGTGCCACTTATATTTCTGTTGATGTACATTTATTTCTTTTGGTAAGATTAAAGTTTCACTTGATTTTGATATTTTTGTCTTTAATGCAATTTTCCTTCCTTTCTGTTCTTCAATCGATGTAATCTAGATGAGTTTTTATAAGAGAATAATACTTTTTATTGCACATACAAATATGATCTGATTTGTGTAACTGAGTGAAAGGTTTTCTTATCATGTGTTTGGTATCTAAGTGATATTTCATTAACATCTATTGAATTCATAACAGGTGCCATCCAGGCAGGCAATTCTGCATACACAATGAACACCAAGCAAAGCCAAATGAACTGAAATGTAGATGGATATTGCAGTTTGAATTGAAAAGAATTATTAATACTGAAAGTGTCTTTTCTGTGCTAATTCTATGACTGCCCTCATAGTACAGTAGAGAGAGAGTCTGACATGATCATTGCCTTGATGGACTTACTGGCAGGGAAGGAGTCTGGGAAAGATAAACCCATTGCCCAAATGTAAAATGTAAATGTAAAACTGATTCTATGGAACAGAAACATAGCTCATTTGGAAGGATTCCACCAACAGGAGGAAACAAACAGAATTACTTGTGGAGAGGTAAGGAGTGTTGGCATCCAAGAAATACATGGAATTGAATAAGCATAGAGGTAAATAGACTGTGAAAAGAGTAATTTAGGGTATGAGAGGATGAAATGAACAGAAACACAATGTGTTTATTTGATAAAGCAACACTAAATTATTCATGTGATTAGCATGGAGATGGAATGAACCGATTTCACATTAAAAAAAATCAGTCCCCAAGCATGGTAGTACGTACATATAGTGAAACCCTGATGAGGAAGATTGTTCCAGATTAGCTTGGACTATATAGCTAGACTCTCTCTCCTCCTCTCTTGATAGATCGGTAGATGATAGATACATAGATGATAAATAGGTAGATAGATAGATAGGTTAGATAGATTGATGATAATAAATAGCCAATAGATAGATGGTATTTATATGTAAGAGATTAAAAACAAGGAAAATATCAACTTTGTAATGCGATGGATGTTCAGTTAGCTTTTTTGTGTCTTTATGTCATAATTTAAAGGTCTAAGAAAACAAACCATTGTATTCCATAGAAACATAATTTTATTTCTCAGTTATACATCACTAATTCTGAGAAAATGGTTGCCTTCCAACTCTGTTACATACATTTAGAAATTTGTCAGCTGAATGTATATTCACCATAATATTATTAAAAGCAAATGAAAAAGGATAATATGATATGAGACATGTTTAAATGCCAACAAAAGAGCTACCTGAAGGACACTCTGAATATGAGCATGAAAACTTTTAGTAATGTCTAAGATGTGTTATTAAGGAATAAAGAATTGTTTTAGAGGAAGACATGTCAAGTTTATTTTAGGATATGTTAAGCTTTCAATGTCTGTGACACATCAAAAGCACACATTGAGGTAAGTTTTGGGGTAGTAGAATACAAGTATCTACCTGGCAATGAAGGAGTTTCTGAAATAATGAGATGGGTAGAGCAACAGAGCTTACAATAAAAACTCAGAAGCACAAAATGCCTAAGGAACTTGGACAAAGTGAGGTTAGCAGTGGAGCTAGAGTCTTAGGTGATACCAATATTTCTCAGTAAGAAAAGTAAAGACATCTGAGCGGTGAATTATCTGAGGAAAGGGAGTGGAGGGCTGGTGAGATGGCTGCCAAGCCACATGTTCAGAGTTTGAGCCCCAAGTTTCATATGGTCTTAGGTGAGAACCAGATTCTTGCATGTTGTCCTGTGACCTGCATATTCACACATAGCCACAAATGCAAACTCTCTCTCTCTCTCTCTCTCTCTCTCTCTCTCTCTCTCTCACAGATACCGTACATACACAGAGAGATACCACACTAGACACACACTCAACACACACACACACACACACACACACACACACATACATATGGATAATAAACACAAATCTTAAAAAATAACCTGGGTCAAATAATTCAAGTGTAAAGTTTTCTTTCTGCACACCTAAAGACATTTTTCAAGGCAAATTATGTTTGGTGCATGGTAGCTCTGTGTCATAAGTGAACATGTTTAACTATTTCACAAGACTACATTGATTTCTGTATACGTTTATGCATGATCTTTGCTTTGAAAAATGCAACGCATAGTCTTTTCTAAAGCAAGGCAAATAATTCACATGACTCAGCAGGGAGATTGAGTGATTAGGCTTCATGTTTTAGGAAAGTGATGTGTAATAATTATGTGAGGTGATAAGAATGTTCATAGTTGCAGAGATTAGTTCACAATACACATCATAAAATAGAGGTTTGCTTATTTAGCTGAGGAAAAGGTTATATGTGTAGCAAGCTGGTTTAGAATTGAAATTTGACATGAATGGAAGGATTGTTAGCATGATGCCATGTGCACTGTTGTAGATTTCTATCTCATTTGAGGAAAGCCAGGATGGACAGATGTGTCTGAGTAAGCAATTTACTTAGGGAGTCTGTTAGGCCATTGTGTGCTTCATTTCATACTGGCATATTGAGTGCATGGTGATTTTTAAGAATTAAATGATGTTATTTAAGCAAATAAAATTTTCCCTTCACAATTTAATATCTGAGATAGGAAAATTAATATTGTGAGCCTTCCTCTACATAGGAAGTCATTAAAGTGCTATTTTGTCATGAAAAATACATTTCTTAGCAGAGGAACTATTTTCAGAGGAGGCAGGGAATTAGGAGATTAGCGAATTCCAAGTACTCTAGCCTGGATTGAGCAGGAGGTTCATTTCCACTATGGGTGTTTGTTCTCTACACTGCAACAGTTTCAACCAGTGCTTCTGCAATCCTACTCACCAGGAATTGCTAAGGTATTCTTATCACTGCTGAGTTAGAACTCTCTGCAATGCACTCCATATTTACATGAGCTTCTGAGTTAAAACAGCAAGGACAACAACAATCCAGAAACTTCAGTGTTCAGTTTGGCATCTACTCATGTTCCATCCACACCAAATATAAATGTTTATCAGCATAATGATCTGTCATTAGATTTTCTTCTCTAATTTGCTGTAAAAGCAGTGTTTCGTTTGTTTGCTCTTCTACAGAAGTCCCTTTTATAACAGTGCTTCCTGTTGAAGTCTACACAGACTGCCGTGTTTGTTGAATACACTCGATTATTAAGTGTACTGTTCAGAACTTTGCATGATAATTTGCATAACTACTGCCAGAAGTAAGCTTTCCTCCCCTAGGAAGCAAGTGTGCAAAGAAAATTTTATGAATTTTCATTGTTGCCTGTTTGTTTTTACCTCTAGGCATATTCCAATATTATGCTTGAGTGAGGTGTTTCTTTTTTCACTGAGGACACGTTCTGCTAATAATATGATTTAATGCATTACAATGCCATATATCAATTCATTCCTTCCAGTTATCACTGGTCTTTGCTAATGACCTCTTCTCCCTTTTCAGGGTGAAACAAAGATCTTAAAGCTAAAAAATCTTCGACCTCAGGACTATGCTAACTACAGCTGCATTGCTTCAGTGAGGAACGTGTGTAATATTCCAGACAAGATGGTGTCATTTAGACTTTCCAATAAAACAGGTACAGAACTGTCAGCGTGTTTTATATGTGTGCTTTCTGCAAATAGTTTTTAGAAACCTTTTTAACCTTCCAGGCCTGTTGATGGGTGCAGATGAAAAGAGTCATCTTTCATACTCCCAGAAATATTTGGCATCCTCTAAACAAAGAGAAATAACAGAAAGAGACTATGTGATGTTACTATTATATGTAATGTGGGAAATTCTAGAGTATTAAATATTATAGTCATCAATTTACAAATTAGCCTACGTACCATTTAAAGAGAATTTTGAAGAGTATTCAATTCTTTACATAAAATTTTATCATCTAATTTGCTGAAAATATCTTATGGTTACAAAACTAAATAAAACCATTTTGTATGCAATTTTCAAATTAAAAAATGTAATGGGTAGTTTCAAGTAGTTTTTATCAAGAAAGCATTTTTGTGCAAGGAAGAATCAATGTGATTATATTTCTGAAACATATAAACATACATTATTTCTTCTCCCAACAAAAAAACTGATCAGCAAATTCCAATCGATTTACTTAATGAAAAGATAGAGTTAAGACTTTATAGACATAGTTTCCAAAGTATGTTTTGACTTTTGGTTTGCATTTGTTCCATTGATTGTATCTGTTCCAAGAGGTTGCTAAAACTTAAACTGTCTATTATTTTATTACTCAGTAATTTCTTGATAGCCTGCTGTATGTCAGAATTTATGTGTGTAGAAATGCTGGGTAAATGTCCTTACAGTAGAAAATGCTGTATTAAGCACAGGGTAAAAGTCAGTAAAAACAAATATAAAAAATGTTGGAGGAAAAGTCAGCTTTATTAATGAAGGTATAAAATAATTCATAAAAATGTTTCAGGGGAAAAAGGAGAAATGTAAATTCTAATGGTCTTTAAAAAATTAAGTTAGTGACCTCATACCGTTTTTTAACAAAAGAACAGCATACTGAAAAAATTACATATAAACGCTAGCTGTAACATTTTAATCTTGCCATGAAATATATTATGAATTATGTTAACTTTTAATATAACTTTTACATAAATTTAATTTTTATTTTCTAAACTTAACACACAATGTATTATTATTGTAGTATTTTTGAACAATGTGTATTTTAGTGAGTCTCATTCCCCTTAATCTAGTTCTTCTATTTTTAAAGATTCTAATTTATTAGTGTTTGTATATAAGAGCAAGAGTGTGAGTACATGTGTGCTTTGCACATTTGGAAGACAGATCACAGCTTTGGGGGACTATGTTCTTCTACCTTGTTTTAGGGCATAGTCTGCTGTTTGTGCTATTGCAAATGTGAGTTTCTGGCTGATTATTCTGTTTCCTCTTTCTGTTTCATCGTTAAGAGTGCTACAATTACATAAGCATGCCAACAAATGCTGCTTTCTGTGGTGGTTCAAGGGCTGAATTCTGACTTTCAGGCTTGGGTGACAAGTGTGTGACTTGAAAAACCATATCTCCAACCCTTAACTTTGTGTGTGTGGGGGGGAGGGGGTTGTGTGATGGAACTCAGATAATCCATGGTGGAAAAACAGAACAAAATGGAAATACTTCCTATGCATGAAGTGAAAAAGAACAACTTAGTATAATATCATTAATGTGGCTTTATATCTGTATGTTTGTTTGATCCTGTCTTTTCCTAAGCTTGGCATGTAGTAAATTGACTCATACTGATTAAATAGTCTCATGGAAATTAATCTGAGACTGGATTAAATCAATGTACACAAAAACTATTTAAATACCAAAACTTCCAAAATTAAACTTAGAATTTTATGTTGCAGAAGTCTGTCGTTTTGCTATTTCACAATTCATGGGTTGTGGAATACTGATTGAATCTTACGCTTGAAGAGTTATTTAGACTGCAGAGTGACCAGAAATTTAATTTTCTTGGAGTTACTGAAAAGAAATTCAAGCTGAAGTCAGAGTGTTTTATTAACTATAAATAAAGATGTCTTACTTCATCAGCAACATTAGAATGGAAAGTGACATAATTCCTAAAGCCCATTGAAGCAGCTGGCTTTTTTGGGTTTATTACTAGGATGACTTTCAATAAGAAGAGTGATGGCCATCTTTTTTTTTTTTTTTACAGGGGGCATGGCTGTGCCATACAACAAATGTTACACTAAAACTTTCAACATTCTGTTCTTTTTTGCTCCCACAGTAATGTATATGATTAAGCTGAAAACAAATGATATTTTTCTTTTTTATAAATTGTGTTTAGGTAAATAAGCTTGTATCGGTATTTATTGCAAAATAAGTATTGAAGCTGTGGGAAATAATTGGGATTATGGTACTTTTTCAAGTCCTCCATCAACTGCAATCAAACCTGACCATTGGCACAGTCAGATCATTCAGGTGTGCTTTGCCGTCTTTCTCATCTGGTTGTGCTCAAAGCTGGGAAGGTTTGTGTGTTGCACATAGATGAAATCGTAATAGATTTCAGCAGTAATTTCGACTGCTTCAGCAGTAAATTCGACTCAGACCATGTTCATGCAAGCAGATCTGTAAAACAATCAGCGTCTACAAGCCCCATCTATTGTTCTTCTTATGTGAAAGAGATGCATGAAAATCAAGTACGTAATCAATGTAACATCAGGTGTTCTGTTAGAAACTGTGGGGTGCACACAAAATATTAAACCTCTGTTTTGCAACATATTGGGGAAAACAGGTACACTATTCATAAATAAAAAGTATATTCTGAATATTGCAATAGGTTTCGTTAATGTCCTTTGTAACAAATATGCTTATAAAATGGAAATTTGGAAATTTTAGTCCTGAGAGAGGACAAACAATAGACAAGTGTAAGTTTACTATGAACAAAATTGCAATGAAAATCTCTGTGGTCATTTAAACTTGTTAATGAGAATCAGTCAGAAGGCGTTATGGCACAATGCTCAAATGACACAGTGAGATGATATAGAAACAATAGGTTCATTGATAAATATTCTTCAGAGTTCTTCAGAGCAATTTCACCATGAGTAGATTTCTGGGTACATTCTGTACCTGCTGAAGCAGGATTTTGATATGAGACCTAGGCACTGAGCTAAGTTTATGCTTGTTTTGGATAACAAGATAATGTCTATGTTATCACAGTATTTTAGTGAATTCATTCCATTCTGTGCATATGAGCTTTTGTTAAAGGAATCAAGTTGCCAGTGTAGTGTTCAGGAATCATTTTAAATGTCAGAATCTCCTACACATTAACCAACATGGGTTTTCAGAATGAATTGGCACTGCAGTTCAGTTCTACATCAAGTTAAAGAAAGTATTCAATATTTTTTCATCCTAAGTGATGTCATACTATAAAAACATGTCTTGTCACAGTATATATTTAGCCCTCCTAACCTTGTTATAACCATTTATATTGCTTTTATATAAACTATAAGGTAACATATTTATTTATTTCTGTCACTCACACTGACCAAGTGACACAGTCCTGTGGCCGAGTCTAGAGATTGATGGTTTTATTTCATTTGGAAGAAACATTACATTAGTTCTTTCCTCAAAACTATTGGTGTAGTTTTATTTCTCATAGTTGATTAAAATAAATTCACTTAGATTTGTAAATTTATAATCTAAATAAATATATGTGTATTTTGAAATGATCATAATTATGGTAACTAAGAAATTATTTTAAATATCTACCTTCAACATAAGGGTACATAGGAATTATGATAAATTTTTCATTTACTTTAATGTATTTCAAGCACTTATATGTTGATGTCTCATGATTTCAATGGCAAATAAGAATTAAGTAGGTTACCTATATTAGAAGGAAAAACATGTTTTGTACCTGCCTGAGAGGCAATGATGAAGCCTATAAAGAAACAAGACAGGTGGGGCTAATTTTACTTAATTATATAGATCCTTTGATTTAGTCTACACAGACTTATCATTTATAAACATTACCTAATTAACATGCCTTCCTTAAATGTGGGTTGCAACCAGAAAGGAATGCGTTACAAAAGTGGTACCGAGTAAGCAAGTAGTGAACGCCTTACATCTTGCCCCTCCTTACCCACCTCTTTCCATTTTACCCTATTGTCTCTCTCTTCTCTCTCATACTCTCCAATCTGTCTTCATCAATTTTCACAGAAGAAACAGATTTTTTAAAAAGCTCTCTTGCATTTATTTCTTCTGCTATATTATTATTATTATCATCATCATCATCAATCATCATCATCATCATCATCATCATCATCATTTAGTGTATCTCGGAGCTCAGTCACAGTCATCCGCTGCTGTGACCTGCAATATAAAATTGAGCATGCTCTTGATTGTAGAGGAATTACTTTGAGTTTCTCTCCATTTAGTTTGATGTTGGTTTGGTATATATTGCTTTTATCATGTTTAGATATGTTCCTATTATTCCTGTTCTCTCGAAGATCTTTATCATGAAGGGATGTTGAATTTTGTCAAAGGCCTTTTCAGCATCTAGTGAGATGATCATGTGGCTTTTCTTTTTCAGTTTGTTTATATGGTGGATTACCTTGATGGATTTTCATATGTTGAACCATCCTTGCATCCCTGGGATGAAGCCTAGTTGATCCTAGTGGATGATTTTTATGATATGATTTTGGATTCGATTTGCCAATATCGATTTTCATGACGGATATTGGTCTGTAGTTGTCTTTTTTAGTTGTATCTTTGTGTGGTTTGGGTATCAAAGTGATTGTAGCCTCGTAAAAAGCATTTGGCAATGTCCCTTCTGCTTTTATTGTGTGGAACAATTTGAGGAGTACTGGTATTAGTTCTTGTTTGAATTTCTGGTAGAATTCTGCAGTGAAGCCATCTGGCCCTGGGCTTTTTGGTTGGAAGGCTTTTGATGACTGCTTCTATTTCATTAGGGGTTATAGGTTGATTTAAACTGATTATCTGTTCTTGGTTTAATTTTGGTAAGTGATATCTATCCAGGAAACTGTCCATTTCCTTTAGATTTTTTAATTTTGTGGAGTACAGGTTTTCAAAGTATAACCTGATGATTCTCTGGATTTCCTCAGTGTCCAT